TGAATATTGCTCGACATACATTTGGATCTAATCATGAAAATGTGCAGTTATATGAAAATTATGTGAAGAAACTACGAAGAAGAACATTGATTAATGTTGTACCAAATGGTGCTGTTTATGAATAAATATGTAAAGAGAGGATGAAAATTTTCTCATATTGTATATTTTGTGAATAAAGCTTTGAAGTACATGTGCAACCTTTCTATACCATTTTCAATTCGACACATATATTCCCTTTTCTGAAAGAAAGGGTTTTACAGCATTAAAATCTCGGCATAAAATGCACAAGGTTTGTCTGTCTAAGTCAATCAGATTACAATAAAGCGTTAGAAACTAAGCTTTAGCTTAGTTAAAGTAAAAATGACCTCCACTTACAGTTTTCTGGGCTGAAGAATCCGAATCTGATGTCAGTTTTTTATAATTCTTTTGTCCTTTATTTTTTCTAGCAATGGATAGATTTTTTCCGGAAATTTTGTTTTCATGAAGTTTCACTAAAGGTAATCAGGGCCCAGAAATTCAGTAGTATTATTAGTCTAAGAAATAAATAGACTCAATTCTTGAAAAATGAGTATGCAAAATCGAGAGTGGTTATTCATTTCTTCCCATTCGAATTTGTGAACAAGTAGACTAAACTGCTCGCAGGAAGGGTCTTCTTTTTTCTTGGTAGAAAGAAACGTAGTCATAGTCAGATTGATTTAAGGGTTAAATAGGATCCCCTTTCGTTTGAATCTAGAAATCACTTTGTTTTGTTCGATTCAAAGACCTAAAACTCGCGTTCATCATCTCAATTGACATAAGATTGATCAATTAAATATTATGCAAGATTTTCTTTAGTATTATTAGAAATAAACATGCTCATAATTGAATCAAGTTAGGAGTTTATCAGTGTCCTCTTCTTGAGGGTGTCGTTCAGTGTGAATAGAAAGAGTAGATACTCACACGCACTCACACCCACACTCAAGATGGTTATTAAACAAATTTTTACATTAAATAAAACGAATTAGAATTTTGTATAGATTGCAAAATTGACATCAGAAGTCTTACAATTAGGAACAATGCATTATGAACACAAATAATAAGAGAAATGATATTTTTTTTAAACATTTATTTTCAATGTACGGTTAGTTTTTCTTGTTAAATCGATTCGCCAATGATATGATTTTATATGCCTCGATGTGTTATCCATATTTTCCTTAAAATAGTGTCCATACACACCTGTGATAGAAAGTGTGCATCATTGGTTCATGATATCTTATCAACGCCGTCCTATATTTACCAAAATATAAACAAAAACATTCCAATAGAAAACGAAAAACAGTGAATAGATAAAACGATGTATGCTGGTCATTTTGCAGCTGTGTTCTTATTATATTCCTATGATTCGACCGTTAATTCATTTTTACTTACGTTTGGTGTTGTTTTTATCGATATTATTATGGGTATATTAGCCTATTTCTCTGTCGAAGGATTTGAATGGAATCCAAATGGGGATGGACATGGTATCGAATTACACATTCCAATTAGCCATTCATTATTAAGTTCATTATGTTTTAGTTGTTTATGGGGATGCTTAAATTCTAAGCATTTTGGCATTTTATTTGTTTCATCATTTAGTCATTTCGTATTGGATTGGTTTGTTCATAATCTAGATTTAGAACTATATCCATTTAGTAATTTCTTTGTTGGTGGTATTGGACTTTCATCAAAATATCCACGTGTTGCATATTATTTTGAATTACTTTTATGCATATTCTCTTGTATCCTATTCATACAAATGAATAGTTATAAAAGTCTCAGTTTAGTTTTATCCATTATCTATCTATTTTATTTACAATGTTATCGAGCATTATTTATAGGCAGTGAATTATATTCATTAACTCAAGTTACTCCTAAACAAAAACAAGGTCGATTAACATGTCAATGCACGATGAAAGCATTTGTTATACCCGCTATTGTTTTAGGAACATTGTTAGAGTTGATACCTTTCGTATAATAATGAAGAAAAAAAGAGAAAAGATTTCTTTATGCTGACTTTGTAATTTTAACTTTTAAGATCATTTCTTCTTTTTTATTTTAAAATACAAGAAAGGACAGCGTTGATTGGCTGCATACAGTCAGAATATATGATCAATATTATCTATTTACAATTAGCGATATCAAATTTCTACAGATTCACTTATACCATCACCAATAAATACGAGAAAAAGCACAAAATAAGAGAATTCAATATTTAGACAATAGCTAATTTGTGCTTCTCAATTTTAGTAAAACATCTGTTACGGTACATGAAGAAACAAGATATTGTATAGTCATTTGCGATAATAAAAATATCTAATCTAATCGATATGATCAAAGACAAAATAGATATGTCTGATGATCTCAGTCCTAGACAAGTGTGATGAGCGATCTTTCCTTTTTGACGTACATATTTTGTCTATTAATAGAGCTCATGTATAGTTACTACGGAAGATGTGATAAATCTATTTTTTTCTAGAACATATGTTAAGCGAGTTCTATTCTTTGGTGAACTGTTTTGATGATAAAATGACTGAATTATGTGATTGAGAGACTTTTTTCGAAACACATATAACTATCGCCATCTTCTTCTCTGAAAAGAAACAGTTTCTTATTTGAAAAAGTAGATTTTATCGATTTTTGATGTACATTTATGTCGAACTTTTTAATTGACAAAATCTAAAAAGTAACTAAGGAATGTAAATAAATAGTTTTCATAGAAAAAATCGATATGACAATTCTTTGTTAACGCGAACTTCGTCGAAGACGATCGTTTACGCTTAAACTTTTGTTAATGTGAACATTAACAACTACTTTTGCTAATATTGATAATGAACTAAATGATATAAAATAACAAATGTAAATCAAACAAATGCTTTCCCAACAACAATTCTATGTGTTACATTGTCAATGTTATTCATTTTTCACTTATTTCCTACGCCATTTCTTTCTTCTCTATTTGAGGGTGTGGTGCATATGTCTGTACTACAACTATATCCGCACTCACACTCACCCTCAGTTTCTACATGTATCAAAAGTATTCTTGTTATTCCAAACTAATTTATAGAGTCAGAGGACGGTGGGTTCTAAAATAATAGTCCTGGTTGGAAGAAGCAGTTTGTTCATCTAAACTACATTTTAATGCAAAAGAAACTTTATACTCATGATCAGCGCGATCGATAACCTGTATCTAGATTAAATTACAAGGGAAAACAAGAAAAAAGTTTTTTCACTACCCTGGAAGGTACCACGGGAAAATAAAACTTGAAGAAGACAAAAACTAATTTTCTCCAAAAAAAACACATTTTTCTGTTCAGAATTTAATACTGATTCTAATCATGTAATTATTTTTCAAAAGGTTTTTGAGCGAGAAAATGGTCTTAACCCCACTAGTCCTTTCATCATCAAAAATAAAAGACTAACATTAAAATACAACATCAAATAGATTTTTATTTGAGAAAATAAGAGAATAGAATATATATATATATAATGAAAACGAGACAAACAATAATGTGCTGTTTAAACTTATGCCATAATCATATGGAATTTGTTTCACCATTTTTTCACTGAAATCCTTTGCTTTATTTCGATCAAACAACCTGTAAACGTCTTCGTATGTTAGTTCGATATCGTTCAATAGTCTTATTAAATTCTTGTTTATAAAATTTCGATGGTAATACATATATAATAAAAGTAAGCATCGGTGGAATAAATGAAATAAAATATAGAATAAGATATATCCATGGATTACTCGCTGATTTCATACAATTCGATACATAAGATATTATTAAACGTGGTAATGCAAGAATGACTAATATAACTGGAGCAATTAATAAATTTTTATGTTCACGTAATTGTTGTCGTAAAAGTTGATAGTAAGTTCGATCAGTACGTAAATTTGATTGTTGACGAGATTTTCTTGTTATTAAAACAATAGATGATACTAAATTTATTACGAATGGAGCATTAAAATGAAAACCGTGTATTGCAGACTGAAATGTTTTTAAACTAGATGAATAAGTAATAATACACCATATTCTTATTTCATCATCATTTTCTTCATCTATTAAACGTCGATAAAACGGATCATAAATCGATGTACTTATGATAACAATAATAAGAATAATAATTATTATTTTAGCTGCTTTTTTACTTTTTTTCTTTTGAAAACGAGTACCTTTTATTATTGTATATGCTCGTTCACCGGCTACACAAGCATTTAACCATTGGTCCATATTAAGACATGATTGTAGAAGAAAATCAAGAGTAATACATTGAATACGTAAGAATGTTCGATTTGATATCCTTCCCATTTGTGAAAAAATAAGTATTCAACATTTTAATCCAAATAAAATTATTATAAATAAAGTTGTTATTGATAAACTAAATAAATATAGACCACTACCAACATCACGTACCATTTTATTTTTAAATGTTATCATAGCAAGAATACCATTAATAAAACCAGCTATAATAAATACAATAGTTAATGTTAAACTTATTATTACAATAATTGGTTGATATTTTATACTAATATTTGGTATAATATGATAACCTAAAATAGCATCGAGGGATAAACCAAATCCACTTGTACTAAATTGACACTGTGCTCCAAAAAAACATGAAGGGCAAAGGCATATTGATCTTGTCGGACAATGTGGAGTATCTTGAAAACATTTGCCACCATTTTGACATTCATTTTGACCTGAAC